ATCGCAAAGTTCTAATTCGTAAGTTAATTTTAGTGGCAATGTCAGATAGGTACTGTTTTCGGAATTATTTCTTCCTGACTGACGTTCCTAGTACAAGCTCTAACATCATTTTTTTCAAAAGTTAGTGGACCGATTTTCAAGGTTTATAATTGGTTTGTTGTAATAATTGTCCACTATATTTTATAACTGTATCAAACATTAAAATCGTACTATTATTTCCATTTAAAAACGAGGTTAATTTCTGGCAAATAATTTTGAGATTTTGTTTTCTTAGAGAAATATTTTCTGGTTCATATCCTTAAAAAGATAAGTTCCTCTTCTTCGAAATAGTATGTTTGGCGTTAACATCCGTTTAGCCATTTTTGTAATCTAGCCCTTTCAATCAGATGTTCCGATAACGACTTCTCAAAAATCGGAAAAACGTTAGAAGTAAAAAATCGATAAATTTAAATTTAATCAAAAATTTATATTTAAAACTCTCTAGAGAGTTAAAACAAAATTTCATATTACTCTCACGAAAAAAGTTTTTGTTCTAGTTTACTTGAAAAATATTTGGTTTTTAGAAATACTGGTTATTGATCAACTTTGACAGCTTTTAGTATATTTTTATTGCAAGTCACATAAACAATGCTGTAAAATGATATATATTCAGTAGTTGATTTGACCTAGTAGGACGACGAAATAAAAATATTTTAAAAAATCGGAAATTTTCAATTGTCAAATTTTTAGGCAAAACCAGGGCCTATTCACGGGAAGTAACGGATACGTGCCCGATATTTTGGACTGTAGACTTACCAAAAAATGTTTGGTACAAATCCATGTCTCGCCAACCTTTTCGTCCGCTTGTCCGTCTTTAAAGGGTTGTAGGAGATGATAGGTCTATTCTCAAGAGAAGAAGAAAGTTAAAGCTTTAAAATTTTTAACCCCTTTGCGGTGCTTTTTCATTACCTTATGGGAGCGTCGTTGCCTTTACAAACTGGCAATGCTCACAAAAAAACACAGCCGCATATTATCACTTTTCCTGGCACATGAGAATATTTCAGTATGAATTCTGCGCATTTTCTCTTTCATTTATTGTCATTTATTATTTTATACTCGGATCTGATATTCTATTACAGAGTTTTTTTTAAACACAATTGTTCAGTTCTAATCTCAACCAATATACCAATATGAAGTGAATTTGATTTTTGTCCAATAAAAGCGAATAAAGCGTCTTTTGATGCCATCTTTTTAATTAATCCATCCCCTGGCATCAGGAACATCAAAAAATGACCTTGGATATGTTTGAGGGTTTTAAAGTGCTTCTGTAATGAGCGATTTCTCCTAAGGTCTACGGGTTGTTAGTTTCGTAGACTTTTGTCATTTTGTTCTGCATATTTACCCAGAAGATGTATGCAGATGATGAAAAGCTGAAATCTGTTTTAGAAACGGCGATGATATACAAACTAAAATGATCGGAAACGAAAAAACCACTCTCATCCATTTCTTAGTAGTTTTAGAAAAACTCAAAACGCACAATGAATTTGGTTCATGTGGTTTACTTATAAGAAAAGAATTATTACCTAATTATTCAATTAATTATTTTAAGATATTAATATTGTATATTGCAAAACTACTCTAAAAAGTGAAAACTAAAACTGCATGGCTAATGCCTTAAGGCAAAGATGGCAAAGTCGAAAAAAAAATGTGAAAACATTTTCACATGAATGAATACGAATTAAATGATAGTTTTAAGACTATTTAATAAAAACAAAAAACTGAATACAAGCTGATACGGAATAAATAATGTCGGCTTTATTTGAAATGCATTTGTACTTACTGCTCGAATCGTAATTTACCAAATACAGATGAGAGGATCGTAAGATGAATGAACCTCAGCTGATGGAACGGCCTAATCTACGTGAAAAGCTTGAATGGTTGATAATGAATTCAGGGATCGAAGAAAATTCGTCGGCTTGGCGCAGAGAGCTTTAATTAATCTCACCTTAGGTGATTTATAGGCCTGTTCCTTCGGACAAAAGTTTCCGTCTCCTCAGTCCCAGTAGGGGGTCGTAAACGTTTCTGCCCCAAACAAATGAAACTGTTCGAAGTCGAAAAAGTCACTATTCGTTACTAGCAGTTTCCCCGACTTGTGATGAAACCTCTAAGGAATAGACGATTTGAAAATCGTTTGTGCTACCAATGAGTAATTTACAATTTTTAAATGACATGTTAGTTTCCTTTGCGTAGTTTTTGTTATAGAATTTACTGGTCGATCCGTCTGATTAAAATGTTTACTTGCTTTGGTCTTGAAACTAAAGTTTTACACTTATTATTATACGTTCATGTTTGGTAAACTTTGAAATTAATTATCCTGAATCCACTTTCTGTTTAAATCTTATTATTAGGGGTTAACTAGTACTTCACAACTACAATTATAAATTTGAGTTTAAATTAGCTCTGCTTTCAATTTTTTGTGCTTAAATAAATTATTTGACTATTGTTGCTTCCTATATTCAATTTTAAAAATTACATCGTCAAGGGTGTCCGACAACTCACTCTTTCAGATATTTAACTTTCCCGATTAATTCAACTTTTCTGTTTTAAGCAAACAAAATACAAAATCAATCACAAACTTTTACGTATTTTCCGAGTTCTCGTCTAAAATTTAAGTCAGATTTTCTTGGTTCAATAAATACAAACAGATATGTCACTTACAGAACGGTTAGGTCTACTAACGAGCATTAGGCATACGTACATAATTTATAAAAGGTCAGCTATCAGCAATCTAAATTTGACGTTTAATTGTCAAAAGTTTGATTTTTTGCTTGCAAACGGTTAAGAAATTTACTAATTAAGATTATGAAACTTCTATTAACGTAATGAAAGTACAAAAATGATACAGTTGAACCACAAGAAGCTTATGAAAAAAACCTGTCTTTCTGAAAAAAACTATCAGGCGTGCTTTCTTCAATAAGGTTGTCATTTTGAACATTTAATTTTACTTTTAGAAGCTAGTTGTATTTTTACATATTCAATTTTTATCAAAGGGTATTTTTTGTTTACTTCCATTATGGTTAGTAGAAATATCAATATCATAATTGAACTTTTTTTAAACGACAAAATAATTTTTTTTAGCAATTAACGTTAATTTTACATTGGTGATAGTGATTTTAGAGCAGTTATGTACATGTATTTAAAGATTATCCGTAGTGGCAAGTTTTCTGTACTTTCATTCTGTCAGTATTTACAGAGCCAAATAATTCTTATTTAAACTTTAGGCAATTACTTTGGAAACTCGAAAAGTTTGATGTTACGACTGAATTTGTACTTTGTAAGGTTGTAATAATAAAAAAAAGATGGATTTAATCGGATTTTTAATGGTATTTATACTGATGTCAATGATCAAATTTAGAACAGGATTAATATTTTACGAGATCCGGTAGCTTTATTGGAAAAAGCTATTAAAAGTTGAAGTAGCATTACAAGTGAAATATCTGGTATACAATTGAGAACGGAGATGGAGATTACAGGAAATAGGGAGGGACTTTTAATTCTATTAGACAAGTAGAATGAAGTATTGACCTCTATTCATGGCACATACAGTATGACTCTCGACAGTTTAATGAAACGACTGAGTGTTTTCTGTCAAATTGGTATTGTTTCTGATTGTTATTAAATCAGTCATTAATCATGATTGAAAACATACGTCAGTAACATTTGTCCGTTTGTTTTAAAATTAAAAAAATATTTTTTAAAATCTGTTATGTTTTGTTAATAAGAATAAAACATCATTTGGTCTGAAAATGCATTACAAATTATTATTGGGTTGTCCGGAAAATAATGCAGGATTTTAAGTTTTCATTAAAAAAAATCTATATAAAATATTCTGTTTACGTTTACAGGATTACTCATTTGTATNTTTTGATTAAAGAACATTGCTTTAAAGTAACTAGTTTCTTTTTTTTTGTTTAATACCAAAATCCTGCATTATTTTCCGGACAACCCAATAGTAATGAGATGAATAATGCTACTTCATAGCATTCGATTTATAACTACATAGATATGACGATATAATTAATGTGTGTGTGTATGTGTGTCTGTTGAGTAAAATCGTTTCATGCGTTTGCTCCGGAAAAGCTTTCTGTCATTTCAAATTTCCATTAGAAAATTTGTAACGCATATGTTAGTTTAGAGAGGCGATGGAACCGGCTTTGGTGGATAGGAAGAAAGTTTTGTTTCAACATGACAATGCCCGGCAGCACTCTTTCCGACATACCTACAAAGCAAAAACTTTTCAAAATGGATGTTATCGAGCGGTCACTCTACCCACCCAACAGTCATGACAGATTCTTCTCACTACCGCACTGAAAAGCAATGACCTTCTTCCTCAAAGAAAAAAACCTTCCTTACATTCGATAATGAAATTATAATTTAAAACGAATTCAACGTTATTTTAAACGTCTTTCAATTAATTAAGGTTTTTAGTTGAAATAAAGAAGTCAGTGTCACGAGCGGGATTCGAACCCACGACCTTCCGCTAGATACACTGCTACTCTACCACTTGAGCTATCGTGACTTCGATCCACTCGGCACTAACTTCCCATCTCAACCCCACCTTTTGAATTTTCCATCCTTTTTGCCATTTTTCAAATGTCGTGTAATCTATTTGATTCTCGGCGATAAATAAAATGGCCACGGAGAGCTTTAGTGAAGATATACTTCATTTTAACTTATTAAATTCACTAGTTTTCATGGTCCGCTTGACCAATTAATGTCTTTCAATTAATTAAGGTTTTTAGATGAGATAAAAATGAATTGAAAAATGGAAAAAAGGAGAAAAAATTCAAGTGGTTGAGTAGCGGCGTATCTAGCCGAAAGTCGTGGGTTCGAATCTCGCTCGTGACACTGACTTTTGTATCTCAACTAAAAACCTTATTTAATTGAAATACATCAATTGATCAAGCAGGCATTGAAGTTATTTTAAACAATGGATTTAATCTAGAGAATTTGTTTTTCAGGTTCGCTGCAGAATGTCGCCCCACGCTGTTCTTCCTCCGGACGCGCTCAAATTGGCCGTCGCCCTCTGCCCAGAAGCGACTTCGATCCGTTTAAGATTCGACTGTTCGACGCCCCATCACGTCGTAGGGCCGCTTGTCAATTTAAAAGCTCTACGAGAGCTAAGCGCAGTCTGCGTGACCAGCGGTGAAAGGACTTTGTTGGACTTCACAGACATGATTCCTATCCTGGAACAGCACGGCCCGAAAACCTTAAACATGCTTGAGCTCAAGGTATTTCGCCAATTTCTTTTAACATTTCAAACAAAAATTTATGTCATATAAAACGTTTTCGAAGTTGGTTGTTCTTGAATAACTAAATTTACACTCGCCATACGTGATTGAAAAAAGTAGCATACTGTTAGTTATCTTGAGTATTGAGTTTTAATATGTTTTTGGTTCTACCAAACCTACTTTCTAATTAAGTTCTCAAAGTTAAATGTTCTTTAAATAAATCTACAATCATCGTTTTCAACGTCGATAGATAGAGGTCTCACCGAGTCTTTGAGAAAGTAATTTTGATTGTTTTGTGTGTCCTGCCGAACTTATATCTCATTCAACTTTCACTGGCAGAATAAACAAAAAGTCCATATATACCGTTTAATAAAAATATGTTGTCTAAAATAATTTCCAGATGTTGTAGGCTTAGCATAAATTACTAAAAAACAAGAATAATTATGACAAAATAAATACACATGAAAATAAATTTGATCTGACATGGAAATTTTATTATAACTTCAAATATAAACCACCATTGTTACCCAAAGCTTTGAACGATCTCCATTTTGTTATTAATTTGTGCACGTAGATCATATATTCGAACGTTTATTTTTTCATAGTGCTTCAAATAGAGCATATACAGGGTGGCCCCAATCGATTCAGCCACACTTCCAGATCTTATAGGAAATTGAACGCTGTGTAAAAACGGTCCTATGAACCTGTGTCCGCAAACCCTTCTGTTCCGAGCTACAGACCAAAAACCATGAAAAACCACGTTTTTTGACCTTATTCGTGAAATTGTTAGTAAACCGTTAGCCTGACCGTAAAACAGCTCGAAACAACATCTGTAGAGGATTAATTTCTGCATCGAAGGACATTAAAGCCAGCCTGATCGACGGAAAATTTCATTTTGGGAAGAAGTTAGGAGGTGAAGGGGTACACAAAATCCTCCATTTCTGACATTTTTATCGATTTTGCGTACACTTTCTAAAATTGTTAAGTAAGCCGTTCAGATTTTTCGTACACTATTTCATTCAGTAGTACCCACCAGAAAAGAGTAACATTCGATTTGGGTGAAAAACAGTAAATTAGCAAAAATTCGAATGTTTTATGAATTGGACTGGGGTTGGTCTAATGTGACGGAGAATTCGATCGTCAACAAACGAGGTTTGTAACGGAGAATTTTTTGATAGGGTGTTCAAGTTGTGAATTTTCGATAAAAATGTCAGAAATGGCGGATATTGTGTACCCCTTCACCTCCTAACTTCGAAAAATCGCCAAAAATGAAATTTTGGGCCGATCAGGCTGGTTTTAATCTTATTAGACGCAGAAATTAATCCTCTACAGATGTTGTTTCGAGCTGTTTTACGGTCAGGCTAATGATTTACTAACAATTTCACGAATAATGTGAAAAAACGTGGTTTTTCTTGGTTTTTGCCTGTAGCTCGGAACTGAAGGGTTTGCGGACACAGGTTCATAGGACATTTTTTACTCAACGTTCAATTTCCTACAAGATCTGGACGTGTGGCTGAATCGATTGGGGCCACCTTGTATATATATCATAATATATATTTAGGCTCCACAAACTTCTCATTGTGACTGACACTTAAAAATGTTTTACTTTACTTTACTTAAAAGATAAATGAAAACCATCGACAAACGTAACATATTTGTATTACTCTATAGATATGATGCAAACATTAATTAAGTAAAGTGCTAGTATATTTGTATAATGATGAAATCATTGGGCTGGGCAAGAGTTTTCCGAGGGTAAACAATATATTTTAATAATCTATTTGTTTTAACTGTCCTATTTTTAGACATAATTTTTTTTCAGACCCTCGTGTATTCTTGTGATTTCCATATTACCTCAATTACAAAGTCAAAGTAGTTACGTTTAAATAAATTGCCAATACAACCAGGGATTTATGCATTGAAGCAAGGTGGGTTTTTGCATTTAAATAACCGTTAAAATGGCACAAGGTACACAAGAGGGGATAAAATAATCAGCGGGTTTTTGGAATTTACGTTCAAAACTCTTGTCTTTCGACCCCCTTCTAGGTCTTATTTAGCTATTTAATTAATATGATAAGTGAACAAGGTTGTATATTTATATATTCTAAAACTTATATTCCTCTACGCTTGGTATCTATTCAAATATTTATTATTATGCTTATATCTTGAATTAAAATTTAATGACATACACTCTAAAGTTTTCATTCAATTTTTCAAGCAGTAAAAATATGAGACTGAAATAATTTCCATATTCATACTTCATATCCAATATAATTTTCATCTCTATTCTAATTTTTTGTTAATAAAAACATTAATTTATTTCATGGCTTCCCAAACTGTGGTCCGCTGCGAACTTCGATAAAAATTAATAATTATCAAAATACACGTAGAATGAATAAATAATGATTATCTGGAGATCGTGAGATGCGGTCTGGTGTAGGTTTAAAAAACATTTTCTTTAGGGCGCCAAGGTTTCGATCTTAAGGGCCTGGGATTTATAACATTGTTTAAATGATACAAACACAAGTAGGATGTGACATACAATGATAGAAATTTTACACTCAATCAGAGTGTTTGTACTCACACAAAGTGTTTGTTTTCTGTGTAGATGTGTCATTATTGTATGTCAGTTATGCCAGTGAGATATTGATGTTTTATGTTTGTACGCGTTGGATTTGAAGGGGATTTTGAATAAATAATGTTAAAAATTAACAACAATGAATAGTGTGAAACTAAAATTGTTGAAGAGAACGAAGAGCAGTAGTCATTGTGTTCCCCACAGATATACTTTAGGTATAAAACAAATGCCAGCCTCTTTTAAGATAGAGTGAGGAAATGATTAATTATATTAAGTCACTCAAGCCAAGAATTTTCAGAGTAGTATGTGTCGATATGGGAAACATTTATTACTCCTTGCTTCGCCATGCAGAAGTGAGTTGGCTGTATCGTGGAAAAGCACTGTCACGATTAAAGGAATTACTTTCTGAAGTGGTATCTCTGTTGATGAACCACGATGTCAAATTGCTCAAGGTTTTCAATGATTAGAAATGGCAATGTATACTGTCGTATTTATGAGATATTTTCATTAAAATAAATTAAATGAGTCTTTCTTTGCAAGGGAAGAGTACCACAACTTTCGGTCTTAATGACAAAGTTCACGCCTTCACAAGAAAAATACAGTTTTGGTTTAAATTTGTTAAAGAGGTGGAGCGTTTTCATATGTTAAATAATTTTTAAAAAGAAAACAAACGGGAGTTTGCGAACTGCACGCTGAATGATGAAATATGTGAAGATTTTGAAGTTGGGAGATGTCCTTTGAACATTTCTTCCTAACAGCTCGAAATATCATGACCATGGGTCAAATGGGGGTGAATGGGTGGTCAAACCGTTATCAATCTCGACAGAGCCAACCAGTCTATTTTAAAGTTAAATCATTTCATAAACATTAATTTCATAGACATTAATTCAGATTCCAGCTTGAAATCCACTTTCGAATCCGATACTTATCGGAAAACAGTCTGGTTAACAAAAAATGAAACTGCTCGTTGAAAAAGCAAACTTCTTCTTCCATTTGCACAACTTGCCTATGCGAATCCGGATTTTCTATCTGTACAGCCAATATAACCGAAATACCGAATGTTGAACGCGACATCCGTCTCCAGCTATCAAAAATTAAAGCCAACACATCCAAATTGTAAGGATGAACACAACCTCACTCTTCTTCCCATTAATTCATTAAGTCACTCAAGCCAAGAATTTTCAGAGTAGTATGTGTCGATATGGGAAACATTATTATTACTTCTGAAATTGGCTCTAGTTTTACGTAACTATTGATTCCATTCTGTCTAATTTGATTTTTATGCCCGATTTTGTGTATAAAGTTAAGTACATCATCCAAATGTTTATTTTCATAGTGATTTCCTCTTCGATCACCCAATTAGCAACGACTGGTTAATTTATAAAACTTTTATTTACTGTATACTATAATTATCTAATTTTAAATGTTCAGTAAGAGGGGCCCGACCTGGATTTTGTTTTGTGAAAGGGGTCGGCTGGCTACAATGTTTGGTTTAGCGTAAGAAAAATAAAGAATTGAATTCAGCAAGATGAAGTTTATTAAAAATTAGGGGAATGAGAACAATGCTTATTTATTGAGGAATTAACATTCTGTTATAAAATATGGGGATTAACCAATGAAAGTTGTTTAACAGACTTCTTATTTAAATTATGAATTTACTTAGTTGTTCACTGCTGGCTGGATGAGGAAACACAAATGGCCCAAAGATTCTGTTTCTGTGCCCAGCTCAACTTCTACTAGGTGGTAGGATGGTGTTACAGTTTTTTGAAAGTGTCAAGAGAATTTTACCGTACTTATGCCGGATAGTGTTCACACCCGTCCTGAGTACTTTTCTCCCTTTAGGGCCGGACCCACAGATCACCCGGTAGTCGAATTTTCGGCCGATAGGCCATTCTTGTTTCCGAAAGTCTTCTCAAAAAGGCAAAATGGGCTATACAAAAACATCTGTCATCCTGAATAATAGAATTTGTTTTATATCAAACATTCCACATTTCGTTGTAAACATTTCAATTTGTTACGGCAGTAACGAATTTTGCAGGTATTGGAAGAAGTGGACCCGCACGTAATCGGCCACGTTTGCACGCAGCTAGAGAGTTTGACGCTGTCTGGTTGCGGCTACGTGACTCCGCCTACATGTCAACAATTCCGTTGTAGGAAAAAATCAGCGAGGCTCCAACAGCTCAAGTACTTATTTTATGCCGACGGAGACGACTTCAGCTGGGACCACAGCTTGCCACAATGCTTCTGGAGGTCCACGATGTCCTCTGGTGGGTGACTCTGATGCAAATAATTTTTTAAAAGTTTTTTCTCTATTATTTAAAACATACCGAGACAAACTGTTAACCTTTTACACTGTTACTGTTGTTACTTGTACTATTAATACTGATTTTTCAAAGGAAAACCCAACTATATAATTTTATTCATTATAATTAGTAATTCACTATTTTCGTGGTCCGCTTGACCAATTAATACAAGACAATTAATTAAGGTTTTTAGTTGAGATGAAAAAAACTTAATGGCACGAGAGCGATTCGAACCTACGACCTTCGGCTAGATACGCCGCTGCTCTACCACCTGAGCTATCGTGACCTCGATCCACTTGGACATCAACTCCCCATCTCAACCCCACCTTATGAGTTTTCCCTCCTCTTGCCATTTTTCAAATTTCGTGTAATCGGTTTGGATTCTCGACGACAATTATTCGGCGTATCTAGCCGAAGGTCGTGGGTTCGAATCCCTCTCGTGCCATTAACTGTTTTTCATCTCAACTAAAAACCTTAATTAATTGTCTTGTATTAATTGGTCAAGCGGACCACGAAAATAGTGAATTACTAATTATAATGAATAAAATTATATAGTTGGGTTTTCCTTTGAAAAATCAGTATTAATAGTACAAGTAACAACAGTAACAGTGTAAAAGGTTAACAGTTATCTTAAGATCTCCGTCGCCATTTCAATTGTCGTCGAGAATCCAAACCGATTACACGACATTTGAAAAATGGCAAAAGGAGGGAAAACTCATAAGGTGGGGTTGAGATGGGTAGTTGATGTCCGAGTGGATCGAGGTCACGATAGCTCAGGTGGTAGAGCAGCGGCATATCTAGCCGAAGGTCGTGGTTTCGAATCCCTCTCGTGCCATTAACTTTTTTTCATCTCAACTAAAAACCTTAATTAATTGTATTATAATTAGTGTCTGATTGACCTAAGAATGTTTTTCAATTAATTAATTTTTAATATAAGACTTTGGTTGAGATAAAAAAAAAAGTCAATCACGAAAAATGGAAAAAAGGAGGGAAAATTCGAAGGGTGGGGTTGAAATAGGAAGTTAGTGTCCGAGTGGTTCGAAGTCACGATAGCTCAATTGGCAGAGCAGCGGCGTATCTAGCCGAAGGTCGTGGGTTCGAATCCCACTCGTGATACAGACTTTTTTATCTCATCCAATACCTTATATAAAGATTAATTTATATAATTATATTTTACTAGTATCTTTACATCCTAGTATAGATAGTAGCACGGGTCTATTGAAAAAGTTAATTTATAAAAAAGTCAAAAATGAGACCATTTGCATAATGAAACTTTTTATTCGATCGTTTTATTGTAATATACTATCCCAATAGCATTGCATTTAAGGAAAAAGGTTTAATTAAATAAACCTGAATCGTAATTTTAACCCAAGGAAAAAAAGAGAAGTCGTGTTATAAGGTTTTCCCCTGAGGTATAATGTAGTTGGGTTAAGCCTTCCAAGATTTATATAAAGGTAGGGGCTGCTCAACAATGGCTATTAGGTTGGTCCAAGGAGTTAACCCTATTGTTACGTTCTTTATATCAATTTATGTTAGCCAAGGGAGTCCTGGTATTGCCCGAGTTCAATAGTGTCGTTCAATAGTGCGGAAGTCTTACAGTGGCTAGTTATTGGTCTGAACAATTTTTACCGCTCTTTGCCCTTTGTCTCTTGACCTTTCTGTTCTCTGAAAAAAGCTGAACGTTCCTGATCGGCGGAAAATGAATAAAGAATCGCACGTACTTACAATAAAACCTTTTTATTTACAACTCTTTATCGTATAGAAATAATTAATGAAAGTATTTATTTACAAAACTGTTTCAAATTTTTAGTATCTTAAATTGAAGGACGTAAACACTATTAATAAACCATTTAGGTTTCAGTGGTCATTTGACCTTAATTCTTTCAATTAATTATTCTTTCTATGTAAGGTCTTGGTTGAGATAAAAAAGTTAGTGTCACGAGCGGGATTCGAACCCACGACCTTCGGCTCAATACGGCACTACTCTAACCACTTGAGCTATCGTGACTTTGACCCTCTCGGACACCAACTCTCCATCTCAATCTACAACCGTTCGAATTTTCCCTCTTTTTGGCATTTTGAAATGTCGTATAATCAGGATTGGATTCTCAGCGACTTATGAAGTGGCCACGGGAGCTGTTTAGTGAAGTGGTACTTCTTTTACATATTAAATATTAAACTATTTACGTTTTAGTGGTAAATTGATCAAGTTACTTCTTTCAATTAATTATTCTTTCTTTGTAAGGTGTTGGTTGAGGTAAAAAAATATAAAAAAAGTCGTGGGTTCGAACCATTTTCGTGACACTGATATTTTCCTCTCAGCCAAGACCTTACATTGAAAGAAAAATTAATTGAAAGATTGCTAATTCATATTTAAAAAATCTATTTAGAATGTTTGAGGTTAATACGATAAAAAAAAATTGCGAATACATTTTTCATCCATTGCATTATATACACTGAGGGATTAAGGTATTTCAAACACACTTTTTTCACCAAGTAATGCATCTTTTTCTTTAAAAAAAAAAAAGAAAAAAAATAATAATAATAAAAGCAAAGGATTCAATTCCAATCTTTCCAAATTAATATTATGACCTACGAGTAGGAATGATCGTGGAAACCTTATTGATCTCTATTTTCTTGAGAAGAATACAATTGTCTCAGTTGTCGGGTCGTTGTGAAAACAAATCCAAAACTGGTATTTTCATTATATTCTTTTAGTTTTAGCAGTTTGGCGAATATAAGGCTTACAATCTCTGGGTGCCCCTAAAAATCGTTGTTTTGTTAATAAGGATTTATCTCCTTTAGAGATACGACTTCTTTAAAAGGTCCTGCAGAAAGAGAAACGTAGAAATTTTGACGCTAAAAAAGGTTTATTTTCTTGATATTATAATATAATTTTCGTTATTAAAAAAATCGTTAAAAAAGAAATTTTATTGTTTCTGTCTAAATTTAAAGGCAAAATCGATACATTTTTGTTTTTCGGTCCTAGTCCTGGCTGGCTAACAGTGTAAAGATTTAACTTCTCTAAAAGGTTTTGGAAAGAGCATCGCACATAATTGGTCGTGAATCTTATCACAAGTTGTGATCATACACAAATTGTTGAACAACAAATACAATTTTAATTAGGATTTATCTCCTCCAGAAATTCCCTTTCGCTAGAAGCTCCAGGAAGGAAAATCATAGAAGTTTCGTTGCTAAAAATAAATCAATTTTGCTTCATTGATTGTTTCTGTCTAAAATTAAATCAAAAATTTGTTTTTCTGATCTAATCCAGCCTGGCTAATCCTCTCAGGATTAAAATTCTCTAAAAACCTTTTGGATTTTCGAGTGCATGTTATTAACAAGAATTGTCATTAAAAATATTAGTTAGCACCTTTTGAAAGAAAACGTGATTGTGTTTTTTCCTACAGGGACTTTTCGTGGGGTGGTTCGTTGTAAAGAATGCATTAACAAACAATTTTCATTGTTTAACAGAACGTTAAATATGAATTTTGATTATTACTTTCGAAAATTAAACCCAATTTTTTTTGTGTGTGTGCCAATCCTAGTTGTCTAACTATCTAAAGATTTCAATTCTCTTAAAAGTTTTGAAGAGAGGAATCTCTTTACAGGAATCTTATTAAAAAGATTTGTCTCGGTTAAATAAAGACATAAAAATAAATAATGCTGTAGTGTTTCAAAGAAAACCCAAAAGAGATTTTTTCGTTTTGTTGATGTACTAGTAATATATCTAGGTAAAATTTCACTTTGCTCTTCAAAATTGCTTTTTAATTAGGATTTATCCTAGCAGTCTTTCTGGACTTTCTATGTCCTTCCTTCCTAAACTTTGCAAATACACCTCGAACACCAGTTCACTTCTTTATTTTCAACATTTACCCGCATATCAACACATTGTGTTTTTCATGTTTTTGATTTGTATTATCGTTTTGTCGCAAAGTCAAATAATATTAGTAAAAAAATTTCTTATTGCTTCACATTAAATTATTGTAATCGCAGGCGATAAAAAATGTAAAGTTCAGACGACTGTGCTCAATTGGATATCAGACAAATCACTTTTCATTCTCAAATCTGTCAAAGGTAACAAACATTATTAGCCGATATACTATGATATAAGTCATAAATCTTATATGATTGTATATTGTACCACAGACTCAACATTCCAAACATAAATTGATTTTACATCAGAAAGGACATTTTTAGCCAGCAGGGAAATGTATTTATAAGATTTTAATATTAATTTAAAGAAAGTAAAAATAAAATTTAATAAAAATCATAGATTCATATTGATAAAGTTATATGTTTCAAAAGGTACTGTAGAAAGAAATGACAAAACTATGTTAATACACGACAGAGACAAATAAAATTTAGAATGGTTATGGTAAGTAAATTTAATATTAAAATGTTTAACAAAGTTAAACCACAGGACACCCTATAGGGCTGTCCTCTCATGTTACAAAGAATGGTCATTTTTTCAAATAGGACTCCCCGGAGATCTTGGGTCCAGAGAAGACTCCTGTTGGAAAAGGTATATATCCATTTAACGAGGAATGCCTGCAATTTAAATGGTGACGAACTAGGTTCCATCTCAACATTTTGCGGGGTTGTTGGATATTTATAAAAAACGGAAAAAAGGTGGCAACCGTTAGAGGGCGCATAATGGAGAGTGCTCAGAGCCTGGTAGGCTTCACTAACTGTAAAGCCAGGAACACACTTACCCGATGCTACGCCATGCGACGCTACCCGACGCCTTGCCAAGTTTTGGTGGGGTGTGCACATCTATCCGACGCAAGCACACGTCGCGTACAGTCCACAGCTTTTATCACAATAATCACTATCACAATTGCAACGCATCTTTTGTTCTTAATGCACTATTTGAGCAAAACCTTGTAATAAATTGTTAGTTAAATTTTATTAGCACGACCATCTAATAAATTGTTTGTTAAACTTAATTGTTTTAAGTAAAGTTACTCCTAACCATCATAATTAAACAATGTTTATAAAAACTTATGAATTTTTGATCTCGTTTAATTTGGTTTACATTAAAATAACATGTAATTAATAGAACGACAAAATTACATGTACTTAGTTTGAAATAAACTACAAAAAATACGAGTGTCCTGTTCGGATACTACCCGTCGAAAACGGTGTAATTTTACGAGCAAAACTATGAAATAAATTGTTAATTAAATTTTATGAGCAAAACCGTGTAATAAATTGTTCCAATTTTAGTATATGTACCGCCGAAGCGAGTACAATAAATTGTTAGTTAAATTCATTATATCAAAAAATCGTATTCCGGTGTTTTGATTGATTTTCCACTAAACTATTAAAATTAATTAAGTAAAATTAATACCATTAAAATTAATAAATTTAAATAAAAACTAATTAATTTTTAATCACTGTTAATTTGGTTTATAAAAATAAGTATGTTGTAATTAATATAACGACAATAATACATGTAGTTTGGATAAAAATATGAGTGTCCGTTCTTTTGTCTTCGACTGTACTCGATGCGACCCGACGAAAATCTTGGCAGTGGGGATCGCAGAGCGTCGGGTACGTCAGAGTGGCATAGCATCGGGTAGATGTACACGGGGGTAATGCAACCTTAGGAAAATCTGAGTTTGGAATTGCGTCGGGTAGCATCGGGTAGCGTCGCATAGCGTATCATCGGGTAGGTGTGTTCCTGGCTTAACAGTCCAACCTTAGGTGAGGCGTCGTTGTGTCGTGTTCTCATCTTAATTGTAATCCTTTGTCCATATCATTTTGACAAGCTGTAATTCTAGTCATTAAAATAATGCTCTCTGTGATAACATATGTTGTTAATGTCAAAAATAGGTAGTAAGAACAAAAAACAGTTGGACTTGTAATTATATAAATTATTATTTTTGTCAATTGTTAATGTTATATGCGAATAATTACTCACTACTTTACATAGATATCTTGTTCACCATGATAACTTAATGCTGGCCATGTGCTTCATAACCTAAACCAAAGCACTTTTACAATAGTTTTTTCCGATGAGAATTTTTTCTTTTCTCTCTTGGGAAAGTATGCATTATTGTTTTAATTGTTGATTGTTGAATTTATATTATGTAAATTTTTGATCTTAATAAATAGGCCCTGATGATGGCAACATAATGTTGCCGAAAGCTTGGTGATCCCAACACGTTTGTCTTTCTTTCACCTAGTAAAGACCTTAAAGAAGATTTGAACTCTACATCGATAAAAGAATATTAATACAGTATGAAATAAACAATAAAATATTTGGGCCCTATTTTTTTCTCTTTTGAGTGTATTTTTCAACTCATTAGCAACGTGCATTATTCAACTGACGGACGAATGTCTAAGCTGAATGTACTTTTATTCTAGTTGTAGAAGAAGTCACTCTGAAAATGAAAATTACTAAACATTCCAAAAAGATATCTATTATAAGGTTGCTCAATGCAAAACTGAATTCAAAACAAAATATGTACGCTATAAATAGATGCTGACCCAGTGCCGGTTCAGTGTGTTACCGGCTCGCAGAACAACGTCCAGCATCAACTCTATAAATAAAATTATCGATTTTACTCTAAAGTTATGCAAATGTTACACCCCATTCACAGTTTGACATATCTGCGTCACCCTTGAAAGCAACAATAAAACAATAACGAAAAATATCCACAACAACTTGAAAAAAAGAAAAGAATGTGTTTTAACGTAATAATATTTGTTTTCCTTTTTGTTCCAGACAAGAGGTTTAAAAGCTCTCTCGAGTGCGTTTGCCTCGAGTCCCCCAGGATGACGGTCGACACGTTGAAAGAGAGTTTCGACGACCCCGCGTCTTTCCCTCGGCTCAAGATATTGACAGTCTGCAGGGCGCCAGAAATCGATTTCGAGACAATAGAAAGTTTATCAAGAGTCGCTCCGAACCTCAGCTATCTGAGGCTGACATCATGCGAGAAAATAAACGCTAGATTCGGCGCTAGGATCAAGAAGCTTTATCCTGACATCGAATTGAAAATAGATTAAATACTGATTTTTTGCTGTATTTCTGCCTTCTTTGAAGAATAAATTGCCATTTTTTTTATCGATACTGTTTGAAATTACTTATATTAAATATGAATAATACCAAAATAATGATCAAATTTTGAAACTAATTGACCATTGTTTTGAATTGTCCAACTTTTGCTTAAATAAATTATTCATGTTTATTTTTGAAAAGAACGATAGAGACATTTTTACAACAATGTTATTTACAACGACATTATTTCAACAACGGTGAAAACGTAAAACGTAAAAACTATAACATATTACTTCGTGCCCATTTTTTTTTTTCAGGACATTTCGCAGAAAGCTGCCATAAAGTATCATCGCAACACGAAAACAACAAGCGTCCGACAACATTCTTTACTTTGCCTTATATCAACGTATCACCGAAATGGAGTGTTATAAGTGCTTTTCCCAGTTTTCATTTTCGTACATTTTTACCTTTGATGCTCTCTTCGCAGAAATGTTTCTAGGTTTCGTTTTATAAGGCTAATTCGTCAGGAATAAAATAAACGACCTGAGACGCCAGACATTTTAAAATGATCTCTTCCGGCAAACTCCCATGGATCATGCGTAGTATAACTCTAATCAACTAAATTATATGGTTTTATTAATTTAACAAAACAACATAATAACACAGGACGTTTTAGTTGATAAGGTAATAGCGTATCGTCGGATCCAAGCTACGTAATTAAATCGTATGTCAGCCGTTTCCTTTTTAGTTAAAAGCAATAAAAATAATTCATTTTTTAAGGGGGAGAAGTCCTTAACAGTTGAGACCATATCTTAGGTTTTATCGCCCATTTGTTCTGAATATTTGTTAAATACTAAACCCCCACGCATCTCCAAGTATTCAGGAACTGTATAACAGTCATATTCAAACACCATGAAGATTTTTAATATTTTTATTAAATTATTAGTTATTTTATTTGGTTTTAGAGAAAAAATTGCAGCATAATTTTCAATATTTTACCTTTGAGTGGTCGAGGTTTACGTCAAAACACGACAGACGTGTGAAATTAAACGAATGAAAGTTATATTTGTAATTATTCAGAAATCGTGAGATGCGGTCTGCTGTGATGTCGGTTTCAGAAAAACATTTTCTTTATCGTGCCAACGTTTCGATTTTTATTGAGATCATCTTCAGGGCCAAGGATTTACAACATTGTTTAAATTTAACAAAAACATGTAGGATGTGTAAAAAAGTGAATTTATACAATGCAAAAAAATATTTTTTTTTTTCAATCAATGTGTTTCTACTCACTACGTACGCAGAAAACCAACACGTCGAGTGAGTAGAAATACTTTGAATATAAAAAATATTTTTTTGCATTGTATAAATTCACTTTTTTACACATCCTACATGTTTTTGTTAAATTTAAACAATGTTTGTAAATCCTAGGCCCTGAAGATGATCTCAATAAAGATCGAAACGTTGGCACGATAAAGAAAATGTTTTTCTGAAACCGACATCACACCAGACCGAATCTCACGATTTCTGAATAATCATCGACTAACTGTCACTAATCACTACACACGTTATATTTGTATTTGTATCATAATCATAAAACATATTCAATATAATCCTAAAAGGGTGTAATGTAAAATTCAGTCGGTTTTTGGTCGAAAGTGGCATTGAAATAAAACTAATGCCCATTTACATAAAAATTGGACTTATTTTATCCAGGATTAAATCTTATTTTACGGTTTCAAGATAGTGTCTTCGAGGCAAGGTGAAGGTAGGCATAAAACTGCTTTTTGCAATTAAGAGTTTCTTGTTTTCTCTTTTACTTTTCCATTGTTTAACTTTAAAATCCTTGGAAAGTTCTGAAGGAAGTTGGCCCTGGTTCGTTGACTTTATTCCGACGTTTTCATACAACTAAATTTGTAATATGGATTATGCAACCAAAGCGAAAAATTACATATTGTAATTATAATTATATAATTATAAACTTTTCAATAGTAATTTCAATGTAATAATTAACATTAATTAAGGTTTTTAGTTGAGTTAAAAAGTCAATGGCACGAGCGGGATTCGAACCCACGATCTTCGGCTAGATACGCTGCTGCTCTACCACTTCACCTATCGTGACTTCGATCCACTCGGACACTAACTTCCCATCTCAACCCAACCTTTTTAATTTTCTTTCCTTTTTGCCATTTTTGGCTCGTGCCATTGATTTTTTTATCTCCACTAAAATCCTTAATTAATTGTAATATATTAATTGGTCAAGCGGACTACGAAATTAGTGAATTTAATAATAATTAATATTGACTATTAAATTGATTTAATATATGACTACTAATAATTGACTGGCAAAAATTTCTTCCCACTTGTAATATAACTTAATTTGTATATATTTTTATATATTAATCAAAGTTTCACGTTTTTTAACGCTTAGTAATTGAGTCTAAAAAAGTTAAAAAAAATGTAAATTCCTAAGGGAAATGAAAAATAAATAAAAAAAGGCGGACAGATAAAAATTGTTTTAATTAGATTTTTAATTAACATTTAAATATCAATATTTCCTCCTTTTGCCTTAATTACATCTGGAGGTCGCCTCGGCATACTTTCTACCAGATTGGAAATGTCTCTTTGCTTATTAGGCCATTGTTCATGAAGTGTCCTTTCAAGATCGTCGGGTTTTCAGGATGATGGACGTGCTGTTATTCGTCTTTTGAGGTTATCCCATAAATGTTTGATGGGATTCAAGCCTGGAGAACGGGCTGGCCAGGCTAAAATACCCTGATGTTATGGTGCTGGAATCTGGGAAAGATTACAGGCTTCCTACCTTTTATTTGACCTTCTCCACACTCTTTCTGCCCATCTGGAGAGCAAATCTACACTCATCTGTGAAAGGTAAGAAGACCATTCGTCCAAAGATCAACTGCTGTGTTCTCGAGCAAATGCAGGCCATCCAACTCTGTGTTCTGGTCAGTTCTGGTCCTCTCACGGGGCAAAAAGCCTTCAGTCCATACTGAAATAATCTTCTTCGAGCAAGCATTCAGAAATTTGGACACCTCAAACTTCCTTAAGCTGATGAATCGCTTGAACTGGTGCCGGTATCGCAAAATTCTCAAAATCAGAAAACGGTCATCCGGTGGTTCTGTTACCGTCTATGGTAGGACCCAGCTTCTCGAAAACGTGTAACGGCGTCTCCCAGTGTTTCGTAGGGAACTCAGATGACAATAGCTGCATACGTGATGGAATGTCTATTATCAATAAGTGCCACACCATATAACATTCTCAGCGCTAACTGGCGACATGTGGACGTGCATTATCGTGCATTAGAATAGATTTGTCGCTGATTTCATCAAGGATTGGCACCGCATGATGATCCAAAATTTCATCCACATATCGATTGGCCGTCAAAGACCCTCCACGAATGACAACCAACTCTGTGTGACTCTCCATTGAAATTCCTGCCCACTCCAGCGCTGAGGTACGTTGAAAAGTTTGTTTCTGAGAAAAATTACAGGCTAGGTACCGTAAATTCGCTTTCTTTACACCCTTTCTGGCCATCTGGAGATCATAGACCAAATCTACAGTCACATGGATTTTTAAGTTTAAAAACCTAAAATGAGAAAACAAAGATGAAAACTAAAAAGTTTATTGCCTCAGAATTCAAATGAGACTGATTAACCATTTTAAATTCCGTAAAAAGTAAACATTGAAAAATCCTTTATCTATGTTTTGGATGAAGGAGTAAGTGTGCTTTCCTCTAATTGATATTCTCAATTTAACACATAGCATAAACAAATATTATTGGTAAAAACAATGAGACAATTAAGGGCAGAATTTTGTTTTATCGAGAAAATGAAAAGTGTATAATCTGTATTGAATTTTGACCTAACATTAAAGTATAAATGAATTTTGAATATATTGAGTTACTATTGGGTTGTCCGGAAAATAATGCAGGATTTTGGTATTAAACAAAAAAAAAAGAAACTAGTTACTTTAAAGCAATGTTCTTTAATCAAAATAANATTTGGAAGAGGATTAATAAGTGTTGACATTCATACAAATGAGTAATCCTGTAAACGTAAACAGAATATTTTATATAGATTTTTTTAAATGAAAACTTAAAATCCTGCATTATTTTCCGGACAACCCAATAAATAAAATATTTTTAACTTTTCGGCCATTTTTTCTTATTAAATGTTTGTGTTATGCTTCAAATAATCGTGTCTGAGTTGTTTGAATATGCACGAAATGTTGAAAACATCTTAGATCTTCCAGCTTAGATTGGACCACGTGATGCGTAACAAAAGAGAAATGAGCAAAGCTGAGACTGAAGGAATTATTCATTGCCCGTTAACAAACGTATTCCCTAGAAATTATAAATGTATTCCCTTTCCCTACTTTCCACCACATGTGTAAGAGTAGGAAGAGAGCCAGAGAAAAATGTGTCTTTGCCAATTCTTTGTCTTTTTCGAATATTTAACATGCTCTTAAGATGGTTTAGCATTTTTGCAGAGGCAAATATCACACACTGTTAACGAAATTTAAGAGCATAAAATATCCCGATGAGACCAGTTAGAAACGAAACATTTGTAGAAACGATGGATGGTGAAGTGAGTGCGGTGTTCAATCATTTTTAAAAAGATAGTTCCTACTCACAGTAAGTTGTTTTGCATCGATCCGGATTTCGAGCCCTTAGCTCATCATCAGGTTGAAGGAGTTCTACAACCACGTCTCTCGACATGAATTGCAAAGGTGAACCCGCCAATCCCCAGGCGATCACCCGCCAACGCGACCTTCCAATGAAAAAGCTGGTTTTTAATGCCGCTCAATTTTGAACATGCGAAAAGGGGGAATTATAACACAAGTAAATATTATAATAGTAAATGCTGTAAGGAATGAATTATAAATTAGTGATTAAAGATAAAAGATAAAAAATTCGAATAATACTTTAATAATAAATTATTAAATTACGATAAAATTAATAACAATTAAAATAATTAATTTAATTATTTGGACGTTTAATTCAAAAATGAAACGTTCCCGACCATATGCAGAACATATCGTCTACATAGCGTT